TCTCGTTCTGTCTGATTCGCTCCCTATTCTTGTAGTCTGCACAATATACGTTGGATTCCGTCGCCTCCGACTTCTATACTGTCGTATTTGACACGTCATATGTGCCATTGCTTACCGACTAGTATCCCAGACTCCGCCCAACAGATTTGTGCTTGTAGAGTTCTGATATTAATTCCGAGAAAGCATGCATTTATAAGTATAAGAGATCCGTAGTTAAGTTATTGCGGTTTTTAGTCTTAAAATTTAAGTGCACATGATTTGGCTCAAACGTAACAGTTTTATTCGAACTAAAAGAACATTAGATTTGACACGCTTTAGCCAACGGGAACCAAGTTTATTTATCTCTGACCAATAAAATGCTAGAGTCCTTGTGGTGACGGAATCATCGAAAGCGGTTTCAGCATCTCACTGGGTTTTAAACTTTTCTCTCAGATGGTTATCCATGTGGTTGAAAATTTGGCATTCAGTGGTGGAGAGGTCAGGGATGTATGCTTGTTCAGGCAAAGTTAGGTAGTCCTGCTCGTGCAGCTTCCAAAGGGTTGTTTGTGCGACGTGCGACTGTGCGTTACCATGGAAAATCGGTCTCTTTCTGTTAGAATATGCCGAGCACCGGTGTTGAAGTTTTCGGTGCATTTCCACAATTTATTGACTAGTTCGCTGCAAGCGATGCAAAAATCTGTGATGGATCAGACCAGACGCAGATCATCAAACCATCACCATTACCATTTTTGGTGCAATTTCGGCTTTGGGAAAGGTTGTGGAGCTAGATCGTTTTGCAACCACTGAGAGGTTCGTCGTCGGTTGTCGTAAAGTATCCACTTGTTGTCGCAAGTCGCAATCCGGTCGAGAAATGGGTAGTTTTAATTGTGTAGAAGATGGGCAGACGACACCTCAAAACGAATATATCTTTGCTTTCCATTCAATTTGTGCGGGACCCACTTTCCAGTCTTTTCGACAGTGCAGTCTCTCGTAAATGTTTTACGAATGTCACATGCGATACTGTTACAACGCAGCAAGATCCGGAATAGTTTTACGCAGATTCGTTTTAAATAAGACCCTTAATTGACGGTTGTTCACTTATGATGGCCGTCCACAGCGCACTTCATCATCAAGCCTCCCGGAACCTTACCAACATTTTAAGACCACTATTGTGCAGTACGCTTATTAGCGGTTTCACCACCAAATGCACTTATGGTGTCATATGCTGTTTTCGCTCTATTTTGACAGCTTCAATTGGTACAGGAACTTGCGCATTTGTCTTCCGGTTAGGCTCTATTAAGTGGTGTAAAGAGGTAAAAAGATGTTTCTTTGCTAAACTACCATCATTGCTAGATGAAACGCAAAATAGGCATCAATATGATATACGTGATCAAAGTAACAATAAAACCCTTCACAAACAGGACCGTTAAACTAAAAATATCAGCAAACTGCAATCACATTTTACCAACTTAATAACACATGCCTAGACAATCGTTTGTCAGGCAGCTCTAGCACCTGCTGAAACAACGATGCAGATGTTTTAACTGTGTAGATAGACCGGTGTATGGTGATGGTTTCGGAATCAACAATAGTATTAGGATAGAACACTGTGGACAGGGGATTTTGGGTATGAGTGAAATAATCGTGCTTATTACTTATTAACTCCTGGCTTAGGGTCAGCGTGCCACCGTGTATATTTATATATATTTGCAAAAGTCTGCTAACAGACATAATGCCATCGGAAACCATGGGTTTCAAACGAAAGTACAGAAACAGTAGAATAAAACACAACACAACAATGTCCATGGTTTCCTCAGAGGGCGAGATACTACCCGGTTGCCCAAGCCGAAGTAGGGTGTTGACTTAGGGGACACCACCCCGAGCCTTTGGCTGAATAGCCTGCCCGCAAGGCAGCGGAGCGAATTCAGGGAATCGCGCCCATTGGGAGCCGGTGACTGATTGCTCAGTTCATACGCCTTTCGTTTGTTCCTTTGTCAAACAGGGGCCCAATGCTCCCCAGAAGTACAGCATATGGTTGCTGGAATACAATGCTTCGCCAGGATGAAGCAAGGGGCAGTGACTTTATTTAGTGGCGAGTCACGTCCGCCACGTCACAGTGTTGTTAAACGGACATATGTGGCTTTTTATAGGGAGAACGCTTGCCAGGCGAAAACGCACCACGTCCTGGAACACTGCCGCCGAACCATTTGCTGGAACGGGAAAATCTCGAACCACCCAGCTGGCACCACGAGGAGGTTGTTCGGCAAGCCAGCCCGTGCCACCGTGAGCTCTGGAAGACCTGCGGACAAGGTAGGAGTTGAGACGCTGGGCGAGAATGGCGACTGGAATAGTACTCTGGGTCAGCCCTGTATTCTTGACAATTTGTAGGAATAGTGGGACCATATAGCTGGTTTTTGTCGGACGTTTTATTGTTGGGAGTGGCAGCAAAGTCATCCCCGCTTCCCCTAAAACCGTTGGTATATGTGTTTGTGTAACTATGGGATGCGGCATTGAAAACGTTGTTTAGCCGTTCGTACTGCTTAGTTTTTGATATTATTTGGTGGACGCTGGAGAGCGATACGCGGGCTTATCCAAAATATAATCTTTCCTGGTCCCAATCGTTTCATGGGACGAGTGGCATTTCGGAATTAGGTTGCTATTATGAGAAGCATAGAAAACAGTGGACAATCGTTATGTTAGGGATCCTTCGTAATCACTCGTCATTACACTGAACTTGCACTTAGTGGGTGACAGCAATTTGTTTCCAGATGTTTGTTAGCCGCCTTGGGATGTCCTGATCCGCTCAACCGGTCTCTGACCTAGCAGACGGGCCTTCAATAACTGAATGTTACTTCAGCTGAGGTCTTGGCCTAATTAAAACATACCGGGGGTGTGATCCAGGCAGACTGCTGGTCTCGGCATTAAATATGCTACTTTTATTCGTTGGCGCTGACAGAGGCGCTGTGCTGGCGCCGGAAGCAAAGTTACTAGATGATACCACCGAGGAATATGTGCTCCTGAGGTTTACTATGACACATATAGCTGTCTTATCCCTTGTGTTGCCTCCCCGATTTCCTAGGTGATGTGTTGGATTGTGTTTATTATGTCTCTGGGGTTTACGGAGCGGATTCAAAACCGTGCTCTTTGCAGATGTGCTCAATCAGGTTTAACCAATGTGTCCTTAAACTGAGTATACTAGGTCATTGTGTGTCGACAATGCATAAATTGTGGGCCGACTCTTTATTAGAAAATCTGGCAATAATCTAGTAGCACTGCTTTTCTGTTTCACTGTTCACTCGTACAACTTTGCATTCGAACTCAGGCATTTGGAAAGCACTCAGTAGTGTAGCTTCTACCCTATCCAAATTAAAATGAGTCCGAATATTGAAGGTGATAACGTTCTTCATCTACGCATCGGTTCGTGAGATTCCCATGTCGTACAGATGATACATATTCCTACTCTTTAACCTGGACCAAATAGAGCTTTCCTGATGGGTTACTGATGTAATCTAAAGAAGCAAGATGGTCTCTAATATATAGGTGTAGGCCAACATGTTTTATTTTAGTTAGCCGCAGTTTGAGAGAGCTACTCTTCACAGTTGTGCAGTGAGACGACCACTTGTGGGGACAATGTCTTGTTATCCCTTCGCTGTTTTGCTTTTACTTGTGTTAATTACGGAGTGGAGTATGCACTACTGTTTGCTTGCTGAGTGTGGGTAGAGCTTGTAGTAGTAGTAGTAGCAGTAGTAGTAGTAGAAACAGTAGTAGTAGTAGTAGTAGTAGTAGTAGTAGTAGTAGCAGTAGTAAGAGTAGTAGTAGTAGTAGTAGTAGTAGTAGTAGTAGTAGTAGTAGTAGTAGTAGTAGTAATAGTATTAGTAGTAGTAATAGTATTAGTAGTAGTAACTTATTACCGCCAGTGTCATTCATTCTGCAAATCCTAAGTTACTCAGATTTATTGTCTAGAGCTACTAGACAAGAATGTGCCTTTATGGCTGTGGTAGCTGTCGTTTGGTTACTTACAACCTGGTTCGCGATTCCTTACCGCCGATCTCACATAATCTCAAGCTGACCAAGAAAACTCGCACTTAAAGTGCTACTGGGGACGTGTTGCTATCATACAGCCTTAGCTCATCTATCTTAAATTACAAGTAAGCTGGTTTGGACCAACGATGCTTTCTTAGTGTCGCATAAAGGCGACGATAACGATGTATTTGTCTGAGGTTTTTAAAACAAGGAGATTTTATCAGACGGAAAACATAACCCTTCCTTTGCACTTCTTTCGATAACTTCTATATGCGCCACTTATGCTCACACTACAGTTCACCCGCTTTAGATTAGTTTATTTGAATAAAACTCGCAGGCAGGTCATTTAATTGCTTTCGTCAGGAAAGTGGCAGTGTTAGCCTAAACGCTGACCACCGAAAAACCTCTCATGATCGGAAGCCCATACCTGTGGTCTGAGATGCTGTCAGAGAGGCTTAAGCAATAGATTTAGTCTCGACTATCCTGTAAGCAGTCATTTACCTTCGCCGATGGATTTCTCATTTACCTAATACTACTATGAGATCGGTTTACTTGACTACATGCACGCCAGTACAGCTGGAAAAGGCGATCATGCAGTAGGCAGATCATCTCCTCCATTGCACGCAGTCCATTTATATGCGCTACTGTCAGTAGCATTACATCAGCGGAAACTGGCTTCAATCAGCCGGCGCAGAATTTTCTGAAGACGCTCAGACGTACAACGTTCTAGGTAGCATTAAAACTGATTTGTGGAATCAATGACCCGAGCGAACCCTTGACAACTTGCGTGTTATGTAACCATACCTCAACTTACCTGATGCGAAAGGGGGGCCTTGGCTAAACAACCGTACCATATTTTACGTTCAATCTCTACAACCAATTCCATTTATTTTGGAAGTTGATGTAGTATTACAGCGTCATTCTGAAGTGCTGCATCAGTTTAACTAAGATTCACCCGACAGCCCAATGCTAAAAGGTGAGAACGCATCTTCGAAACGGTCATTTAACCGCACGCACACTAACTAATAGCAGTAAAGGCTGCTATACAAACTCGACGAAGGTTAACTGCGACCTCGTCTTCAACCATACCTTTTGCTTCAAGAATTATCGGTTCCAGCAATCCTTACGCTGGTGCAAGCGCAATCGGAAATTCTAACGACCAGCGCATGCGTTTTTGTGTCCAACGTCAATAACTACCATCAACTGGAAGGAATAAGACGTATACTGTCGGAACACGGAACAGCTTCCTCTCTTTTGCTTCACAGTTGTGCAGTAGAGTATCCACCAAATCATACTGATTAAATGCGTCGCGTGCTTGCATGAACAGATCGTTCTATTAATAACCAGATTTATTGTTAGATGCACAACATTTTGCGTTGTGAGCGACAGTGGCAGCATAGATTCTACCTCACGGTAGTCGCCGATGAACCTGAGGCCTTCATCACTAACCTCTGGGAAATTCGCGTACTTCTGCATGTTGAAGGCATTAGAAAATGCGGGTCATATTGGATTGCGTGAACGGGTAGTTTCCAACGGTAATAATGCTCAGGCATTTCATCTGTTTGTTGAAGAGATGAAATGCGCGTACAAGTTGTGAGTTCGTTTGTTGAAGTAGAGCAAGTTTACCGGATGCGAAAACGAAACTGGGAAGGCACTGTAAGCTGGAGGAATGATTGATTACATCGTTTTCGTTGACTTGTAGCACGCTTCGAGTGGTTGCTGAGGCGGCAATCTGTGGAAGAAGATACAAATAGTAGGACGTCAAAGACTGGAACCAAAAAGCAGTTCGATAACAATTCAAATACACAAGTGCCACTGGTTCCAACTACTTAGTATTCGTAATAAACTACTTTTTGATGTGCTCCTTAATGTAGACTCACTAGCTGCAGTACATATGCGCTACAGCAGCAGGAATAAGTATCGTTAATCTCACTCCCACCATGCATCGACACTTTCCTCAAAGGAACGGAAAACCTACGTCATGTAAAACAGATATAAAGCTCAAAAAGTTGTTAAATAAATCTAGCAAAATAAATAACTTCTTCTTTGTGCAACACCAAAATTTGACTGCAGCTCTACTACTAGCATGTTACACCAAACAGATCACAAATGAAATACGAGCCCACTGTAGACATCATAAAAATAGTGGACTAACCTGTATTTAAAGTGTAGAAATATCAAAGGGAACCAAGGCATGATCTTACTGGTTGTAACTGATTATCGCATAATAACTTACTTTACCTTCACCAGCCCTTACTTCTGCGCATCGTTTAACATGGATAATGACCCTCCAATTTTGGACATACAACCATCCACCTTTGATCAACTCACCCACGTCAAATTTGCAATTCGTGATCTACACCAGCTTAGACGCTGCACAAAACTATTTTCATTCGGCGAGCCAAATAATGTACCACTCGCACTTATCAAACTCTGGGGTGTCGACCGATTCTCACCGCTACTGAATATCTTCAATACATCTATGAACTCTGGCAATGTACAACGCGTGGAAGGGAGCCAATGTCATGTCGCGAAGGATTATCGTCCAATAAATCTATCCTATCAAAAATGATAAAGCAACACACGAAAGCTACAACGCTCGATTTTTCACTGTCACGTAACTTAATCGAAGACTCTCAACAGGGCTTCCTGAGTGCTTGTTCATGCAAAACGAGTCAACTTGATTTCTACATCATCTAACTGCTTCACAGGATAACGGTATCTCCGAAACCGTAATTTACATTGACATTCCAGAGATTTTTGATCGAGAACCCCCTTGAAAACTAATATCCCAAATGATGTGGTGTGAAATGGGAAACTCCTGCTTTTGTGCTTCGGATGGTACCTTACAAATCGAACGCAAGTGCTCCGGGTTCAGAAACACAACCCGGAACCAAAAGCAGTCACAACTGGGGTGATAGAGGATAATGTCACTGGTCTTCTACTGTTCTTGTTGTATGTTAGTGGTATAGTTGACGAAGTAAAATTTAAAACACAATCAGTTTTTGCTGACGATATCACAATTGTCTGCTTCTTTTACCCTGCTACCATAAACGCAGCTAACAACATGAACCAGCTCGACTTCCACGCGCTCGGAACCCGGTGCTCAAGGTTAGGAATGCTACTTGCGACGCATAAGTGGCGCGCCATTTCTTACGATTGCGACATAACATCTATCCATCTGACCATCTCTGACAAGCCAGTTAATAAACACCACACCGCTCGGGACCTGGGAATGGGATACTCGTGCTCACTCGACTTCTCCGAGCAGGTAGCTCACATCCCTGCAAAGGCCAGCCAGAACAACGTAATGATAATTAGAATATTTAAATTAAAAGAATTTATGCTTTGCTGATATCTATCATTTTCTCGTCCCCTACTGGAATACTGCCAATCGATGTACAGCACCACAAACAAGCGTGACTGTATGATATTAAAAAGGACAACAAACATTCCCAAAATGCTTCTTAGGTATTTCATGGAAGTTAAGATATTTCCAGCGATATGAACATTTCAAACTTAATCCCCCTGGCTGAGGCACATGAAGCACAACCTAATCATATTCTTCAAATTCCTGCACACGAAATTTCATGTATCCAACCATCACATCGCAATTATACACATACACGCGTACATTACACATGAGATAAGGAGAATTCAGTAGTGGAATTCAGGTTGAAGACAATCCGATTCGCGAACTTCTGGAACCAGTTACCATCCTAAATATGTGCTTGCAATTTAGAGCACGAACTTCTATTAAAAACCAGCAAATATTTGACTGCGCAAAACATAATCCAACTATAGGGTTGTCACAACATAGAACAAGCCCTAAGCTTCATATGATAAAGAAAACGGTCTGCAAGATAGACTGAATAATGCAGTGGGAAACCCTCTACACTCACCGTCGACATCTCATTTCTCCATCCCACACACGTAGATATGCCAACAACCTTATCACTAACGTTGACCGGATCAATGTGCACACGAACAAGCGCACACGAAAGTTGCGCATAGAAATAAACGTGTACGAAGATTGCGTGCACGGAAAATAATGCACACGGAACTTTGTACACACTGAAATATGCCAGTTCGGTTGCATGACACACCCGACTACTCTGTTTGTCTAAGCCCCGGTGATTAATTCAGTATATTCCACAAACAGTATCCTTATCGCCTGCCGCAATTTGCCGAAGTCTCAGCGATTCGGCGGCTCACACGCATTTGGTGTGTACAGACGGAGCCTTGCCTTGTCTTCCCACCAAATTCACCGGATACCATGGAGTGGAACTCTGGTCGGCATCAAGTGACCTACGATCGCCAATGTCTAGTCAATGATATTGTGCTTTGATTGGCTGTGTGTGTCGCGTAATAACTCCATGAGTTGCTTGTGAATGGTCAACGGGAATATGTGAAATGACTGGTTCCAGTAAGCACGATTGCTGTTCTTTCTTGTTACTTTGAAATTTGTGGTGATAAAATATTGTATGAGACACGTTATTGATTTGCAAACAATGTTCTGCGCTATGTTTAGACACCTACTGATCTTTCTTTTTAAAGCGTTATTAATGGAGTATTCAACAAATCAGAAGGGAAACCGAGTATTGATTTACTTGGGATTTGAATATGTCGCTTTTCGCACTCGGGATGGAATTGTCAATTGGAGACGCAGGCACAATCGATCTATGGAGTGTCACTCACTCATGAATACAAGAGACGATATCATCTTACAGCAACTGACCGCGCATTGTCACGATTCATATCCTCACAAAGCAGAAGACAATTCTAACGAAATCAAAAGGACGCTAGACACGAAATCAGTTAGTGCTACTCCTCGTAGTGTAATGGGAAAAGTGTTGTCAGCGTTGAGTAACAAAGTAATGGACCATATGCCAAAGCAATCATCCCTTCTGAAAGCAAAAGTGGTCACGTAGGTTGTCCAAAAATGCTGCATTTTGATATCCCTGAGAAATACTGCTAACTGATGCTTCATGATCCAGGTGTGTATAATCCAAACATAATTCTTGCGGTATATTAAAAAACTTACATTCATTGATTAAATGCAGCATCTACGGAGACGGGACCTTTGATAAGGTTCCCACCATGGTACAGTAACTCTACATCTGGCACACCAACGTGGGCAATGGTTATCCGCCTTGTATTTACATTATTATTGTAGAAAAATACCGAGGTCTACATTAGTATGTTTGAAATAATGAGGTGATTGTTGCCTAACTTGATGCCTAAGAATAATTCACTAGAGTTTGAGGAGACTTCCATGAACACAGCGAGAATCACTTTTACAGACGCTGAAAGCAAAGGTTGCTATTTTCACCTATGCCAAAGCCTCACCAGTAACTCAAGCAAGGTGGGTCTAAAGACCGCATTTGAGACGATGTAAACATAAAAATGTATCTCAAGTCTCTGACTGCATTTATTTTTTACCGGTCCGTGAAATAAGAAGTTTTTGATTAACTTGCTGCAACAGTTCCAAATGGAGAAACCTCTAGTGCGGTGCTAACATACTTCTGCTTTACTTACATTGAGTGTGCAGCAAGCAGAGAGCCATGATTTCCACTTCAAACGTGGAATCATCATGATGCAGCCTTTGAGACGTCGTCGAAAACTACAAGATGTTGTGAGGGATACCACAAGGCCTTGAACTACTTAGTTGATTACAGTCATCCTAGCATTTGTCCTTGGCTTGATGGACTACAGAAGGAAGTGACCTGCCACAAACTAGCGTGAACTAATGCGCAGTCAAGTCGTCTAGGGGTGAAAATAATATATGATGCGCTGCGACACGCAGTCGCCTGTTGGGTCAGAGATTATGAACAGGCGGCAGACAAGCTGAAGCACCTTCGAAGACTGGCGAACTTACAACAACAAACATTGTCGGTATCGCTGGGGAGTTGATTAGTTAAATAATTTGTTGCGAAAATTGTCAGGCGTTATTTATGCAATCGAATTTGTACGCTCACATATATCTGCCATATAACCACATATTACAACATGAATTCCTCATTAACAGGGATTTGCTTGACACATAAATGTGTAAGTGGACGTTTTCCCACGCGAGCATTTCATAGCGACAGATTCAGAGGACAGTCCAGAGGAACGGAATGGTGAAAGGACACGTTTTTCTTGTGTGTATACAAGAGCGATCAGCCATGTTGTAACACTGGTAAGCCGTGCTGGTGATATTAGCGGCGCGCGGCAGCGGTGTGCGAGAGATCCGGCCGTAGGCGTGTTTTTCTGTTTAGTCTAACTGTGACAGCTCCGTAATATACACGATGCCATTTTCCCGAGCAGCGCTAACAACCATTTTACACTGCAGCTCACCAATGAGATTAAGTTGACCTGAAACATTAAATTCAACATGGGTCTTTCGGCTAACTGACGGAGCACCAATATACTGTCATGTTTCGTGGAACGTGATTGTGACGTCCGAAGTTGTATTCAGCTGAAGGCGCACTTGTTGCCCGTTCAGGTGAACACTGATGTAATTTCTGGGAACCATATGTGCATCAGAATAGGCCGCTTGAACCGTACTATGGCTACTGAATCATTTGGGAATATTCGAATTCGGTCGCGGATATCTTGCACGCTTGAACTGCAGTCTGGATCGGCAGTGCGTTTCCTTATGACACTTGTGGCAAACCTGTTTCAGGAATGGACATACTCGAACAAAATGCCACTCACCACATTTCCAACCGGCAGTCGGGGGCTTGCGAT